CAGGCTTGTTAATAGCCAGAAAGGAATTCGACACCGTTTAAGAACGTGAGGGGAGACTTGCCCACCGTCCCGCCTCTCGCCTCATTTTAGCAAGGTCAAATTTCAGACCCAAGGGAGTTCGCCACCCTTTTAGAGCCCCCTAAAGCACCGCCGCCACCTCCCTCCCTTTCCCCCGCCACGAGCAAAGAATGTTAATACTGGGGCGAGAGGGAGGACGCTCTTCCTTAGCCCGCGCCAAAGCGCTCACCTTCCACCACGCCACATAGGAACCTCCGAGCCCCTCCTGCTGCCCCGGCCACCGCTGCTCCCCCGGCCCCGGTTGGGTTGTCTTCTCCGGGGGCCGGAGCTGCCGGAGGCTCCAAAGATGCCCCCGCGGAGGCGGCCGGGTTGGAGTTGAGCTCGCTCTCCCGCTCCTCCAGCGCCGCCTGGCTCTCCTTCTGCACCATCCTCCTGCTCCCGGCTGCCGCCACCTCTGTGGGTCCTTCTCCGCCTCCGTCCGCTGGGCTGCCGGCCCGGAGCCCTGGAGAGGACCTCGGCTCCAAGCGCGCACCCCTCCTGCTCCTTCCCCTCCCTCTCTGCCCTTCCCCCACCCTCTCCGCAGGGACCGGAATGCCCGGATGAGAAGGGCGGCGGCACCGGCGAGAGCCCTTTGTCAGCCGCTGCCTCAACCTAAGCGGGGGAGCCGGAAGCCTAAGCGGAAAGCGAGGCCTCTCGTTCCCTGGAGGCAGATGGCCAGGGCCCCTTTTCCTGTTCTCCGTTAGCCTCCCTGGCCCTTCCAATAATCAGTTTTTCCGCAGCTTCCTCCCAAAGTCCCTAGGTCTCCTCTGCCGCTGCCTCTACCGCCCGCTTCCTGTTTATCCGCACTGCGCCTGCGCCGGAGACCGGCTCAGACCGGTCCCCTCAGCCCTGCTCCCCCTCCTTCTTCTGGGCCAGCCTATTGAGCTTCATTCGGTAGGGGGAATTAGATCCGAGGAGACGCGAAAAGCGGAAGGTAATGAAGGCGATGGAATGTACCATTTACGCTCGCCACCCTCCAGAGCAAGCCGGGAGCCCTGGAACGGACCATTACTCCACCCGAAGAAGGGGAGTATGGGAGGAGGCTGCAGCCGGTTGGGGCAATAGGAATAAGGAGGGGGAGGGTGAAAAAGAGAGATGTTTACCCTCTCAGTGCGCAGGCGCGGAAACGAAGCCTCTAGTTCTTAAAGAGATAGAAACAACCTGACCTACTTTCTGTTGAGGTTGGTTCATTACATCTGCTTGATTCAGGCTCGGTTCTGTGAAGGAGCCTGCTTCCTCCAAGGAGCTCCATTCCAGGGAGCTCAGCTCACCCCTCTGCTTTGAATCATTTTCCCCTACCCCCAGCTTGGTGCTAACTCCTTTTAAAAATTAAATCATTCGTTCATTTCTTCATTCAGTAGACATCTGTTGAGCTTGCCTTGTGCTCTTGGGCCACTATGAGCTCACAGTGTGGTGGTGGAGACAAGCAAGTACACAAACCATCCCTACATGGTGTACCCACGTGTTGCAGCAGCTCAGGGAAGGGACTGACTTAATCATCTTTTGGGGAGAGTCTGAGGCCACGGCTTCTCTTTTGAGCTTGATCATAAAGGATGAGTAGGAGTTAGCAAGACCGAGTAGGGGAGAAAAGAAGAGAGCCCTCCAGGCAAGTGGACCAGAATACAAATGTAGGAAGGGGTGAAAAGGCCTGGCTTGTTTGGGAATGGGGAGTGTGAAGTGTGTTTAAGAGAGAAGTGAGATCCCTTGGGCTCAGCATAAACATCATTTCCTTTGGGAAGCCTTCCCTGAGCCTTAGATGAGCTTGGGTTCCATTGCTATATGTTCTCAGAGCTCCCTGTAGTCCTGTCATAATGCACTTTACATGTATGTTGGTTGAGAGATCTGTCTGAACTTGTGAGGTATAAATGTGAAATGAGCATCTCAATCTCATTCTGATTATTAAGATTTTCCATCTTATAACTCAAACTCCTCCAGTGGTAGCCCAACTCGTAGCTCCAGGGACTCTTAGAGTCCCTCTTCTTTTTATTGTTCTTCTTAATGTTGAGATGGGGGTTAGGATTAAGCATTTTCTTAGGGGACCTCCTGTGATGACAGTTGGGGGCCATAAACAGCTTCACTGGGTACTGTGGTCCCTTGGGGGATTTGGGGGCTATCATTCCAGCTGACCCCAGCCCTTAGTCTCATGACACTTTCTTCTTTGCCTAACACCTCATACTGTGGCAACTGCTAGTAAGTTGGCAGCCACAATTTCATCTACTCTCCACAGTCCAGACTCTGGGGTCTGTGACCCAAGCAAGATCCACCTTCCCTATCTGTCTCTCTCAAACTTGAAAGGCAGTTCTTGCCACACACTTTCTCTCCATACCACATCTCTACCCCTGAGCACTTACAACAGAAACCACAGCTTAGCAGGCTTATGATAATATTTGTGGAATGAATGAGATAGTGCGCTGCCCTCACAGAGTTTACATTCTGGTTGGAGAAACAGACAGTAACAAATTCAGTACATACACAGGAACTCAGTTTGTGATAAGTGCTATAAAGGGAGGAAATTAAGTGACGTCATGAAGAATAACCACAGCAAGGAGAGGCTACTTCCAATGGAAGAATAAGTAGTAATCTAGGTGAGGGTGACAGTGGCTTGGACTAGGGAACATCAGTGGAGACAGAGAGAAGTTGTACACCTTTGGTGGTAGAATCCGTGATTGATTAAAGGGGGGTAGAGGGAGAATGAGAGAAAGGAAGAAATGAAGACCTCTCAATTTGACCCTTGCAACTAGGTAGGTGGTGTCATTTATGGAGATGAGGAAGACTGAAAAGGCATGAATCAAAGCTCCATTTTGAACGTGTTAAAGTTGACCATTACAGGTCTAGGCAATTGGATATATGGGTCTTGGAACTCAAAGGAAAATTCTGGGGATATAAACTTAGGAGTCCTCTGCATATAGATGGTGTTTAAAGCCATGAGATTGGATATGATTTGGAGAAGAGACTCAGGTCTGAGCTGTGGGGCCCAGCATTTGGAATTCTGGTTGAAAAGGATGAGTCTGCAAGGGAAGCATGAGAAGGGATGGCCAGAAAGGTAAGAGGAAAACCAGGAGAGTATGAAATACCGGAGGGCAAGAAAGGAGAGTGTTTTGAGATGGAGCAGCTCTTAGCATTCAGAATCCAACTTATGGCCAGAAAAAATGATCAGAATGCCAACCTGCTGTTTTTCTTCTGCATCCCATTTGTGTGCCCTTGCTCCGGGGCACTTCTCACCTCACTAGAAATTCTCGGCTTCAGACTTCAACTTCTGTTAAACTTAGATCTACCCTAAAATACAGGGACTGTCTCCATACCTAACCCAGTTATATACGCACACTCACCATGCTCATTCATCCATTCATACAATTATTCACATAATTATTGACTGCCTATTATGTGCCAGGCCCTGAGGATAGGATGGTGAAGGAAAAAAATCTAGTCTAGGAACTCAAGCCCCACTCAGGAGCTTATAGTGTATTGGAGAAGACACATAATCACTCAAATAAATATATGGTTACAAACTGAGAAATGCCATGAAAGAAAAGGATAGGGTATCGTGAGAGCCTGTCACAGTGTCACTTTGTTTAGATTATGCATGACATGCATAGCATCTCCATCTTTCATGCACAAATCTTTACTGTGCCCCAAGGCTACCCTGGACAGAGACCTGGGGGACAGGGTCTAGTCTTGATGCTCCTATAAACTCGCTGAGTGACCTTGAGCAGGTCCTCTCCTCTCTTTGGGCTGTTTCCTCTTCTGTACAATGAAAGGCTGAGAGGTAGACTAGATCACAGATTCTTAACTTAGGGTCCATAGATGGGCTTCAGGGATACAAAAATATATGGAAAAGTGTGCATTTTTTTTCTTCTGGACAGTGGGCCCACAACTTGCATCAGATCCTTCAAAGGGGTTGTGACCCAAAGAAACCCAAGGACCTAAGGAGCAGATAGTTGTGTGATGATGTAAGCAGGGAACACAGGTGACAAAATGATGGACTTGGGAAGTAAGTTTTTGGGGGCTGGCCCGGTGGCGCAAGTGGTTAAGTGCCTGCGCTCTGCTGTGGCAGCCCGGGGTTCGCTGGTTTGGATCCCGGGTGCACACTGACGCACTGCTTGTCAAGCTATGCTGTGGCAGCGTCCCATATAAAGTGGAGGAAGATGGGCATGGATGTTAGCCCAGGGCCAGTCTTCCTCAGCAAAAAGAGGAGGACTGGCAGATGTTAGCTCAGGGCCGATCTTCCTCACAAAAAAAATTAATTAATTAAATTAAATTAAAAAAAAAATTTGGAAGTAAATTTTTGTTTCTTGGACACCATACCTCTCCCTTGACCTTCTCGATGTGTACAGTGATGGAAGAGAAGGCCTGATCCCCCTTCTGTGGATGGTGAAGCTTAGTCACCACATAATGGTGCCCTAGAGAAAGGAAACTACCATTGGCACCCCCTTTCCAGGAGAAGAACGAAGAAAGGTTCCCACTCCACACACTTGCTCCATGGTGACCTGCCCTGGCTCCACTCCATCTGATCCCCTATCATTCTTGGCTGGAGTATAGACACAAACGTATGTCCATACTAGAGGCAAGGTTGGGGAATTCGCTCCTCAAAAGAAAGCACTTTGAGATTAACTAAGATGTCTATAAATTAGAAATTCTTGACTCAACTTGTAAGAATGTCTAGCCAAAAGACAGCTGGCTTGGCATAATCTTCAGGACATCAAGATCCTGTCTCTTTCTTGTCTCCTCTAAGGATGTGAGAGGGAGATTCACATGGGGGCCTCTCTGAGGTGAGGTAGGTTTCCAACCTTTCCAGAACCTGTGTCTCAGTCTCCTGCCAAGGGTTGGCCATGCTATGGAAAAAAGAGGCACTTTCTTTCCTAGCCAAAAGACTGCAGGACCATGAGTTAGGGGTTGTGAGGTGTGTGTGGGGTGGGAGGGACAAAAAGGCAGAGACAATAGCCTGTGCATAGCCATTGTGTTTTATTGGATCTGGTGTATTTCTTATTTTACAAAATATACAGAGGAGCCAAAAATGCAAAGCAGTCAACAGTGTTCTGATGAGAAACGAGGCTCTCCGGGGCCCTTTCCCTCAGATCCTGGCTGATTGGGAGGGTGAGCTAAATGGGACAAGCCAGTGTATTAAGGGTGGCAGCATGGCAGAGGTGCTGACAATGAGGTGGGACCTGGGTCCTATGGTCCCTGCCTTCTAGGTGTGCTCAGGGGCATCTCTGGGTAGATTGAATAGAGCAAGAAAAGACCCTAGGTGGGAACTGAGGAGGCTATGTGGGAGTTGGAATAGAGCCTGGGTAGTTCAAAGATTCTAATGAATGCCCCCACACTGGGTTCAGATGCTATGCCTGCCTCCCTCCTTATAGGGCATCCACTGGATAGTCCCTGACTCACTCTATGCCTCTAGAGGAAATGGCAAATGAAAACTTAAATTGTAGCCATCAGAGAGGGTAGGCTGAAACTTTGGCAGGTATCAGCCAGGACATCTCCCACTCATACTTCCCCTGCTGCCACCACCACCATACAAACAGGAAGGAAGGAAGGAGAGGAAGGAATTCCAGCGATGAGCCAGACATTAGGATCCCAGGCTCTGCTGGGATACTGACAAGGGTATGGAAAATGTCTGTGGTGTTTCCAAGGAGACAAGGTCTTCTGGAAACTCATATCCTGATGGCTTGGGGCAGCAGACCTGTGGGGCTCCAAGCTCCACAGCCTGGCATGCCTGAGCTCTCACTGATAATCTCCAGACCTTTCTGCTCTCTACCCTAGCCACCTCCTAGGACCTAACCACTGGCTCAGGCCCAAGATTTCTCCCTTTACATTCTTGTCCCCCTCCTACAGGGCTCTCAAAGGCTCTGGTCTGAAAGGGCAGTCAGTGCCCAAAGACAGAGCAGCCTCTCTGAGAAGGGAGTCTTAAGGGAAATGTTTATAAGATCAGGAATGGGGGAAGCACCATAGCAGGAGACATTTTGTCTAGTGTTGTGGTTTCTAGAGTGGGAGTGGAAGGCGGAGAACCACTCAATTTCTACAGCAGGGGCACCCTCAACACTGAGCGTCAGGCAGGAAGGGGCTGGGAGCAGTTGGGAACGTCCCGCAGATATGCTCTGCCCACTCCCTGACCCCTTCAGCTCCAGAGATCTGGACCACTGAATCCCCAGGCTCTTGGATTCCTACAGCCTCCGGGGCAGGGCTAGGATGAGGACAGACCTGGGAAGAAAAGGGTGAGGTCCACTTGGACTAGGGCTACAGTATGGTCCCCCCAGGACAACTGATCCCCTCTCCTGGGGAGCTAGATGACATTGTCAAAGAGCTGCATGGACCTCATGATGTTCTCGTCCTGTAGCCATGGTGTGAGAGAGGCAGATTGGAGAGAAAGAGAAAGAAAAAGAGCTTGTCAGAGACAGGGAGAGGGACACTGAGTCAGAAATGGGACATTCAGAGAGGCAGCGAGGAAGGACACCCAGAGCCTCCCCGACTTGTGAAGGAACAGGATTTGGGAGTGAGGGTGAGTTAGGGAGATGGTACTTTGCCCAAAGGAGCCTTCCTCTACATCACTGAATCAGGCCCTAAGTCCAGACCAGGGAAAAACGAAGGGCAAGGACCTGTACCTTTTGACAAGACTCAATGAATTCCTCAATGGTCACCACGCCATCCTTGTTCCTGTCCATCTTCTGCAAAAAGGTGGTCACATAGGGAGAACAGGAGGGAGGGCAGGAGAGAGGCAGGCAGAACTAGGATAAGTTCCCTGCTGGGACCTTGCCTCCTTTCCTTCCCTCCAGCACCCTCCAGACTACCCAGTCCCAGGCACCTGGAAGAAACTCTCCACGTGTTCCCTTGGAGCCTCCTCCCGGAGTGCAGGATACGTATACTTGCCCATCATGTCATAGATGGACTTCATGATATCAAGCATTTCCTGTTAGGCCAAGAGAGAAGAAGATCCCTCCTCAGAGCCTCTAGCCTCCAAACCAGGAGGCCGAGGGCCTAGGACAGACTCACCCCTTGCTGGTGATGCATACATGGGTCATGTTTGCCTCCTATGGACCCTCTGCACCTCCTCACACACATACAGCCCCTCCAGCTCTTCAGTTGTCCCGCACCTCCTTGGTGATGCAGCCATCCTTGTTGAGGTCATACAGGTTGAAGGCCCAGTTCAGCCTGTCATCTATGGTTCCCCGAAGAATCACTGACAAGCCAGCCACAAAGTCCTGGGAAGGAGGCAGGGGGTAACTGTGTCTTCAGATACCCTTCACCCAACCCCCTCTGTGGGTTCGGCCTGTAGAATCTGGCCCTGAAGCCAGAATCCTGAACCCAGAAAACAGGCCTCTCTGGCCCATCTCCTCCAGCTCACCTCAAAACTGACCGAGCCATCATGGTTGGTGTCAAAGGCATTGAAGAGAAAAGTGGCATATGTGCTGGAGTCTGTAGGATAAGTGTGGCTAAGTAAGCTTGGCTTCCAGACCAGAGAGGGCTTCCTACCTCTATGGGGCTCCCCAAATCCTTCTTATCACTTGGCATTCCCAATCCCTCCAGAACCCTCTCCCCAACTCAGCCTATAAAGCCCAGTTCCTCTCTGGCTTTGCCCTCTCACCTCCTTGAGGAAAGAACTGGGAGTAAATCTGCTTGAAGTTCTCCTCATTGACAATTCCACTGGGACATTCCTGGGAGGGGGGCACAAGACTGAGAGCAGAGACAAAATCCCCTTCCACTCACACCCCTACCCACCCTCCATGCCCAGAGACTCCCAGAGAGAGCGAAAATTTTCATGTCTTCAGGGGGCTCACCATGTAGCTCTTCTAATGGGAGGCAAGACTCCTCCCCAGTGCACAAATGAAAAAAAACACAGAACTAACCGGCCAGTCTACAGGGTGGGCCCCTACTCAAAGTGGCCAGAACCTCCTGCTAGAAGTTCGATCTGCATTTGCCGGTGAAGGGGCTTTCCCTCCCCCTCCTCTTCCCTCTATCTCCCCAGAGCGTCCTGGATAGGCTCCGCCCCTCCTGCCCCAACCCTAGCCCAGTTTGGCCTCGCTTTGCACTCACATTCTTGAAGCCCCGGTACAGGACCTGCAACTCCTTGCGCGTGAACTTGGTTTGTTCTTGCAGCTGCTCCAGACCTTCAGGCCGGTGACACACGGTGGATAGTTCAAACTCATCTTCCACGCTGTCTGCGCGGTCGGTATGTGGGGCGGGGACAGCCGCGCCTCAGGCCCGGCCCCCATGACCCCTCTTCAAAATCACCGACCCATCCATCCCCACCCCCCCAATCTCCGACGCCGGAGAGCAGCCTGACAGTTCCCTGGACGCCGAGCCGAGGACATCAAGGTAAGCAGAGAAGACGCTGGTCAGCTTTGTGGCCTATCAGCGGGCCCCGCCCAAGGCCAGGCCTCGCCCTGGAGCCAGGGGTCCGACTCAGCGCTGGCCCTGGGCCTTGATCCCTGGTTGGAGGGGAAGGCCCCCAGCCCCATGTTCGTCCCAGAAAGGGAGGAGTAGGAAAAACGTGTTCGAGAGGCGGTGTCTGAGAGTTGGAGCTCCCGGCCTTCCCTGACAAACTCAGATCCACCCAGCCCCGGCCTTGCTCCGCCCAGATCCTTCCCTCCAGCCAAGCCCCACCTATCCCAGCCATGCCCCAGCCATGCCCTGCCCAGCTGCAGGCAAGCCCCATCCAGACCCAACCCCTGTCCCCACCCTTAAGCCTTAGTGAAGGCCCCACCCCTGACGCCATCTCAGTCCTGCCCCAGCCCCCAATATCCAGTCCGCAGGCAAGTGCCCCCACCCCGAAATCCCAAAGCCCCCCTAACCCCGCCCCCACCAGGAGAGTAAGTCACCTGGGTCCAGCAGGCGGGGTCTGTGGGGGCGGAGGGAGGCTTGGGCGGCTAATGCTGAAGGGAGCGAACTGTCACCGAGAAAGCGGAAGACCCGGCCAACTGCAGACACACACCTCGCCCCTCACACTCACAGCAGATCTCACAGACCTGCGTGTTACAATGCACACACCCCAGGCCCGTGCGCAAAGGCACACGTAACGAATGAGCACAAACACACATGAAAGGGACCCCACGCACGCATGCCTGCGGGACTCACGCCTGTCCTTTTTCCGAAGCTACCCCCAACTGGGACCCAGCGGAATCAAACACAACGATACTCTCAAAAATAACTACAAAACGGGCCTTTACAGCTCGCAAAATGCAATATGATCCTGTGAAGTGGGCAAGGCCCAACAGAGGCTTAGAGACAAAACGAAGTCACTCAACTGGGGACTAGGCTGGGACTAGAAAATCCAAGTATCCTGGCATCTGGAGGAAGGTGGGCTCCATCCTCTACACTCGCATCCACCCAGTCATGGCACGGGTGACATACATCTCGAGGCCCAAAACATGCCCAGGGGCAGGGCCGGCGACCAGAGTCGCAGATGCTAAGCCAGCTGAGCGAGCTAACCCAGCTGAGCCACTACAGACCCTCGCAGTCGCCTGGTCCCGCCCTCGCCACACCTACACAGGCTTGGGCCTCAGGTACCACGCTGGCCACGCCCAAACACCCGGGTCCCGCCCGTTTTGCCAACGGGTGGCGCCCACAGACACTCAAGCCCCGCCCCCCAAACTGATCCACGCCCTCCACTTCCTCAGTGCAGCGTAGCTACGCCCCCTCACACTTGAGCCATCTAGTGCCTACCCCACCCTTGCCACATTGGTCACACACACACACCACACACACAGGCCCGCTCCGTCACACTGGTCACACCCACACACATACGGCCCCGCCCCCGGAAGCACAGGAGAGACACTTGCTTTCACTGACTGAGGGCAGGGCTTGGGGCCCGCAGCATGGCAGCAGCTTGAGGAACCGCTGCTTCAGTGCTTTTTTAGTGGGCCCTGGAGGGTGGCCTGAGAAGAAAGAAGACCCCAGGAAGGCACATTAACCCCCACAGTCCCTCTGTTCCCTGCCCCCTCCCCACCATCACAAATCAACCCCGACTCGGGGCGGGTGTTGGGGGAGGATGGGCGAGAGTAGGTGGGGCAGGGTTAGAGGAGCCCAGTGGGTTTCACAGGCATGGAAAGTCCAACGAGGCAGCTCCAGCACCTTGTATAATGGGACACAGCCCGGGGACAGTGAGGCGGCCAGGTGGGGGGCGGGGGAGGGGGGACTGCATTGGTCTTAGTGTCTGCTGACCCAGTGCCCTTGGCTCCAGCGCTATGGCTCAGCCTCTGAGAGTGCTGTCCAACCCAAGGATCGCCTGGTAGGAACACCTCTCTCACACACACACATACAGTGACAGGTGTGTATAGTGCACACAGAATGATAAATCACAGAGTAATGTGATTTAGTAGATACAGTAACAGCTTGATACCCAATAACTCACACCCCATGGCCTAATTACACATGCACACAGACACACACGCACACTTTGACCTAGTACTCCTTAACACAAACATATACAAGTGTGATCTAGGAAAAACATGACACCCACATATAAGGACCCATACAGGCCATCTTTCACACAGCATGATCAAACCACACAAGAACACACAACAACCCTGGGACATCATGACACAGTGTGTTAAGGGCACTATGACACTCTGTGACCTTATGACATTATGACATATATCAAGGTCACCATGACACATACCCATATCATATTGTGACTTAGGTGCCCAGGGCACCCAGATACCTAAGACTGCATCTCACCCATAGAACCTGTGTTTGTCTTTGGTACACCCACCTTTCCCTCCTATAACCCCTCATTCCAAGGCACCTAGAATCTTCCTGCCAGTGGAACAGAGTTCCTCATCAGCTAACTCATCCACCTAAAAGTATGTCCCTTCCAGTGTGGCTTACCTTTGAAGGTGAAATGATAGCAAACTTTGAGACAATAACAGACCTTGGAGATGAGTATTTGGTGTAATGTGAGGCTACCCAGAGCCCACTGACCAGATTTCCCCTCACGTCCCCTTATTTACACACATATCCTACAGCTCTAATTGCATTCCAGGGAGACCCTCTGCGCTCGTGTGTCTGTCTCCCAGATGTACCCACCTCCAGACTCCAGGGCCAAAAAAAGCCCACCGGACCTGGCACAATAAAGTTGGCCTCAGTCCATCACTGGAGGGGCCCAACTTCCTTTGGTCTTAGGTTACTCTGGCATCCTAGGTTACTCTGGCAGGCCCCGCCCTCCCAAGCCAGGCTCCACCCTCAGGACAAGGCCCTGCTCCCAGGAGGTAATTGCTTGAAGTCAATGCCTTCCTCTCCTCCAATAGGAGTTGTGTCTCCCCACCCCCCCCCCCCCACGCCCGACACACACACACACACCCACACACACACACACACCCACACACACACACACACCTCAGGAGCTATGGAGAGGTGGGAGGGAGGCAGTGGGGGATCGATGGTGGCCTGGCCCCTGGCCTATGGCTCCATTAGCCCAGACTTTGGTTTCCTGAAGCCGGATTATGCCTGGGGCCTCCGGTGGTGTAGTCGCTGCAGAACTGGGGGATGGCTCCCCTGCCTCTCTCATCTTCCCCCTCTTTACACATCCCCCCTTACCTGGCCCCCTCCTGCTCCCAGGACTCAGTCTCCTCTAAGCTCCCTGGAAGGTGGGAAGCGAAAGGGGCTGCCTTCAGCCTACAGGACGCCTGGGTTTCCTGGATGACTCTCTTCCCACCAAATAGTCTAAAGGGGATTGCAAGTTACAGCCCAACTGACTTCATCTTTTCAGGACTGGATGAACCCCAGTTCATCTAGGACCAACCCCGGCTCCTCATCCCACCTCAATAAATGCAGCGGAGGATGGAGGGTGGGCTAGGAGTTTTCTGCTCTTACTGAGCCCTAGAGCAGGCAATTCAGGGACCTTCCTCTTGTTCCCAGCTCCCTTCACTTCTTTTCAGTTCTCCCAGGTGTCCACCCTGCAGCCCTCCTATCATGGTTCTTGCCTGTTTTCCTGTTTCTGATGAAACTGGGGAACAGCCATGCTATGGAGCTGCACAGTTCATATGACAGAGGCCAAAACTCTCCGGGAGAGGCAGAACGAGCTCCACTCTCTACCTCCAATATCACTCTCCCCACTTGACTTTGGGGTGGGGTGGCGAATTGATTTCCCATTCCCAATGTCTAGGTCCTGGAGACCATTCTACCTTTGGATCCTGAGAGCAACTGAGAGAGGCAAGGGAGCTTGGGAAGCAGGATCCCTGATCTGATCCACCCCTCACCCTCATGCCAGAGCTGATCTATAAATGTCTCATTCACAGTGTTCCCACTACTGTCCCTCCAGAACCCACTCTCATTCCAAGCCTTGGGTATGGAGCTGGTATATCCTCAGGGAACTCTGGAAACAGCCACACACACAATCCAGTACCCACAGAGGCTCAGCCACAATCCTGTCCCTTCAGGCACAGTCATATCCACCATCTCACAAAGCCACACACCCTGTCACTCTGACACATTAAATCACATCTCTGTCACATACAGCAGGCGCACATAGACACACACTTTGTCCTTTTTACACACATGAACACACAGTCACACCCCCTGAATCTCTCACATACTGAGTCCACACACACATACTCTGTAACCTACACCTGCAAGGATGGAGATGTGGAGAGTCATACGCATCTTCAGAGCTGCTGTGGGCCCCCTGGCCCCAAAAGGGAATTCCCAGAAGTCTGGTGTTATCTCAGAATCCCTGGAATCTCCTTTCTCTACTCCAGATATTGTTGCCTGTCTGCAGACCTCTCCTCATGTCTCCCAGATTCCCCTCATCTCCATACCCCAGTCCTCTTATGCTGTACCCCTCATCACCTCCCCCAACACCCTGTCCCCTGGCCCTTGCCCTTCACTCCCTCAGAAACCCAGTCCCCCAGATTCCCTCCTCACCTCCCCCAGATCCACTCCTCGAGTCCTCCTCTTTACCTCTTCCAGATGTCCTATTCCTCAGGTACCCCTCCTCACCTCCAGATGCCCTATCCCATCACTAACTTACTCACCCCTGCCCTCAGTCATGAAGTCAGAGTAACCTCCTCCTCAATGCTACAGCCAGCTGTCCCTCTAGCCAACAGCCCAGTCATGCCCAGATAGCTGAGTTACCTTCCAAGGAGACAGGCTCAAAGAGGCCAAACTGCTCCAGGACCTTGACAAACAGAGCGAGGACCACAAGCACAGCAACCATCTCCAGTCCTTCCAGGTTCATGGTGGGCCTGGGGCATGGCTCTACCGGCTGAGGCTCAGACACGCTGGCCCGCCCTCCTTACACCACCTCCCCCTCAGGCTCCCCAGCCTGAGTAGGACTGCCTGCAGCCTCCCTCCCCCTCCCCCTCCCTGGATCTCCTCCCTCTCCCCCACTTACCCCGCCTATGCCCCACAGGCCTCCCAACCACAGCCTCCCAGCCACAGCCTCTTCCTCTTAACAGGGCCACCTCAGCCTATGGACTGGCATCTCCTCGGAAGGCTTTGGCGTGAAGGATATGGGCCAGAACAGGCCAGGACAGGGGAGGGAGGCAGCGACCTGCCTGTCTCTGAGGACAGTTTCCCCCAGACACCCCGTGGCTGCTCTGTGCCAAAGTGAGGGGGCAGAGGGAGGAGCTGTGCTTAGGGAAAAGGCAGGGAAGGGCAGTGCGTATGTATATGAGAAACAATGAGCTGCATATGGATAAGTAATAGATGTATGGGTCAGAATATGTTATGGGCATCTGGGTGTTTTCTCATGTGTACATTCCTGTGTTTGTCTGTATTGAGAGTATGTGTATCTCCTCTTATGTGTGCCTGTTTACACATGATTGTGCACCTATTAGGTGTGTGTCTTATATATCTGCATATGTGACCTGGGTGTCTACGGTATGTGTGTGTGAGTGTACTGGAGTATTTCTGAGTGTGTATAGGGTGTGAAGTGTCTGTGTTTTAGTAGGGTGTGGGACGTGGGTCTGAAGATTGGTAGTATGAATGTGTCCTATAATTAGGAGTATGGGTCTGCGGTGGTTGTGTAATTGTATCTGCATGGAACTGTATGAGAATATTGGGGGGAGAAGGCAATGACCTCTCTCAGTCAGGAGGACACCACTAATATTGATTGTGGTTGCCATGGAGACTGTGAAACGGAAAGCACTCTCTTCCCACAGGCCACAGACAGGGAAACTGAGGCCCAAGGGAGGAGGATTAGGTCCAATAGCCTGGGCAGGAAAAAGGCTGCTTAGCCTTATCACGACCCTCTGGGGAGGGGACTTACTAAGGCCGCCTTAGGGACCAAGAGACTCAAGATCCTTGGGAGTGGAGGGGGGACTGTGCTCTTCCCTTCCTCCTGGCTGGGTCCTCACCTAGGAGCTGCCAAAACCCTGCCTGCTCCTTGGGAACCATTATTGAGCTAATAGAGAAGTCCAGGGTAGGAGGGAAATCTGAACTTTCCAAGGGAGCCACCCCCTACCCCATGGTGTCCCCTGCTCCTGGAGCATTCCTGGAGCCCTCCCCCATCTTCCCTGCTCCTTCCTGGTGGTGGTGGTAGCGGTGGTGGTGGTGGTGGTGGTGGTGTGTGTGTGTGTGTGTGTGTGTGTGTGTAGGGGGTTGGGGAGAGCCCTGCAGAGCCAATGAGCCAGAAGACAAGAGCCTCTGAGTTACTGCCACAGCTGGCTAACGTTGACTGAGCACTCACTATGTGCTAGATAATGTGCTATGTGCTTACAGACATTATAACATTGAATTTTCACAATAAACCTATGAAAGAGGTACTATTATCTCCACATATAGGTGGTAAAACAGATAAAAGGAGGTTAAGCAAATCTTCAAGATCAATTAAGTGTCAGAGCTTCAATTTTAACCCAGTCTGACTCGGAGCCTGCACTCTAAACCACCACACTACACTGGCTCCCTTCTTAGATAGCCTGCCCATCCAGGAGGCCCAGTTTAAGAGGACTGACTCCAGAGGACGCCCTCCCCCCTTGTCCAGCTCTGGGATGAATGTGTCTCAGCCGCAATTATGCAGTGGTGGTCCAGGTGGTGGCTGGTCCCTAATGCTTCGAGGTTCATTGATCTGCAGTTCTACACGGCCACCACATGGGGTCAGGCATCTATCTCAAGCCATATCTTACCCCTTTCCTCTCCTCCCACCCCCCAACATCCCAGGAAGGAGTGGAAAAGAGGACTGGGAATGAGGGCATGCCTCAGGCAGGCTTGGTTCTCTGCTTGCCCCTCCCCCCCCTCCCCCAGGAAGAAGTCAACTCAGGGACTGCTTTCAGTTTCTCACACCTTAGAGGTTACAGATTTACAGATGAAACCAGCAAATATCTCCCTATCACTGTCCAAATTCCACACCTGGCATTTAATACCCTTCCTTCTACCTTCATCAGCATATCCCTTTTTTTCAGCCAGTTTGGCCTCTTCACTGTCCCCTAAACACACCAAACTCGGTGCTATCTCTGTGTCTTTGCTCCTGCTATTCCCTCTGCCTGGAATACCCTCCCTTCTGCTCTCCTTCTATCCTACGGTTCTTACCTATCCTTTAGAGGCAGCTTAAATTCTCTTCCCTTCAGAGCCTCCAGCCATCAGCGGGCTCCCAGCTCCCTGAATTTCTCCTGAACTCATTGTTGGGCCCTCAAAACTCAGCACTTAATACTGTAATGTTATTAGCGGGAACAGTAAAAGGAGGCAGTGTAGCATGGTAGGTAATAGCGTGGGCCACGGTGCCAGACTCCCTGGCTTCAAATCCTAGCTTTGCCACTTACAATTAACTGGGCAAGTTTTTAATCTCTGTGTGCCTAGGTTTCCCACCTCATATGGTTGTTGGGAGGAATAAATGAATTAACATATGGAAAACTATTAGAATAACTCCTGGCACAGAGTAACAGCTGAAGTGTTTGCTACCATTATCAATAACATGACACTCCCCCCTTTACATTTCTATAGCTCTTAACAATTCATAAAGGATTTCCACAAACATTGTTATCTTGATGGCTTCTCATGACAACCCCATGAGGTAAACAGAGTGAATAGTATTGTGCTCATTTCACTGATGAAATGAGGCCCAGAGAGGTAAAGGGACTTGCTCAAGGTCACCTAGCTAAGAGGAGATGATGTGGATTTGAACCCAGATCTTTCTGAATCAGTCCTGTTTCCTCAACTAGATTCCAAGCTCCTCGAGGGAAAAGATATTAAAAAATTGGACCTATACAAATAGAGTTCCAGGCTCTGAGCTGGTGCCTATGGAACAAAGGTGAACCAAACACGGTTCTGGCTCCCACTGGACAGGGAGAGACAGCCCACTGAGAGAACTATCAAGCATCTATTCATTCAAAAAATATTTGTTGTGTGCCTACTATGTGGTAGAATCTGTTCTAGGCAGGCCACGAAATGAACTATAGTAAAAGCTTTCTAACTGGGAGGCCAGGAAAAACTCAGAGAGGGTATTTTTTTGAGCTGGTTCTTAAAGGATGGCTAAACTGTCAACAGCCCACCTTAACAAAGGGATCAACATTTATTGAGCACATTTTGTGTCCTGGATATTTTACATATATTATCTCACTTAGTCCTCATAATAAACCTGAGAGGTAGGGTCTATTATTCCTGTGTTTATAGGTGACGTGGTCAGAGTAAGTAGTAGTATATCCATTTTGTAGATGAAGGAATTGAGGCTCAGAGAAGTGATTTTCCCATGATAACACAGATGATAAAGGATGGATCAAGACTTGAATCAGAACCAATGATCTGCCAGCTCCCTCAGGCTGTCTCTCCAATGTGTGTGGGAGTATCAAGGAATCCTGGGTGACTATAGCTTATGTCATGTTGGAAGAGCTATGAGTGATAAGATCAACAAGGGTCAGATTCCATGGAGCCTTGAATGCCAAGCGAGACTATCTGGATTGAAAGAGGCAGCACAGCAGCATCTCCCTGCTCTCTGCTGGTGATTCCCAGAGGGACAGACTGACAACCTTGCAGCCTGTTGCCCTGTCTCTGGACCCTCCTCTTCCCTCTCTCACCTCTACCTTCAACCTTCAGAGACCTTGACTCAGCCTCACAGAGACTCAAGATTCTAAATCAACCAGGCATTTGATGGGAGGGCCTGTCAGAAGCAAAAGAGCAAGTTGTTTTTCAGGCTCTCCTTTCTCCCCATTCAGAGACCTCTCAAGTCTCAGGGCCCTGTGAGAAACTTGCCCAGATCTGTCCTCCCCAAGCATCACTGTGCCACTTAGCTCTTCACCCAAAGGAGTGAGGTCTTAATGGAAGCACTTCAGGTAGAGTGAGGGCTCAAGGAAACTATCTTGAAGCATTAAGTGGGCCCTCCCAGGTCCCTCAAATCTCACCACAGAGATACTCCTATCATTTAGTCATTTACCTCCCACAGTTCAAACCTGGAGTAATACTGCCGTATGGGGGGACCCATCCTAAGCAAGTGTCCCACTTTCCCATCTGCACTTGCTCCCCCAGTGAAGACCTCAGCCAGTGAAGACCGCAGAGCCCTTCTCTCAGTCCCTCAGCCCCACTACGTCCCCAGCCAGGCCAGAAGACACAGCAGCCCCCAGCTGCATCAGGTGATTAATGACCTCCCTAGGCCTTGGGGCTATTTTGGGGCCTGGAAGTCATGCCTGCTATGATTGAGAGAAGGCCCTGCCTGGCTCCAGCCATCTGTCATTGGAGACAGGCCCAAGCAGGGGGCTTGGCGGATGCATGCTTCCCCAGAGACTTCCAAGCATGGCTCTGGCTCAGCCCCATCTACCCCGCTTCTGGGGAGCACGCGGCAAGGAGAGCCTATACTCTAGGGGCTCAAGTGGATACCATGGAGAGAGCCAGAGAACTACACATCCCAGAATGCCACAGGGCTAGGTTGTTTTCATCTCCCCAGGCCAGGTGGGGAGGGGAAGCTGGGTTTTGGGGGACCTGCCCAGGCAGTCTTAAGAAAAGTCAAGTGGAGGTGTTTGCAAATCTCAGCAGTGCCATGATATGCTACCCACAATCCACATGTCATAAATTCCACAAATCACACACCAAGGTACAACCTTGTGAAGGCTAGACAACTAACTTAGTGGGACTCAGGAACCCCTAACCCCACTCTAAAGCATAGAATTCCAGGTACATGCAGTTTCAGTCTCAAGGATATGCAACCCCAGAGATGCACAGCCCCAGTGAACACAACTCCAGTGATGCACCACCTCCTTACTACAGGGTCCCAGAGATAGAAAAAACGGTGGCATATAATCCTCATGCCACACAAATCTATCCATCCCGTCACACATGAACTCACTAGCTGAGTTCACGTTGGTCTAGTCCCACCTCAGGATTTTTTCCTTCTGGATACTGACCCCAGTCATCTTTAAATCCCATTAAATTAAGCAATTCAGTAAAGGACTGTGCCTTTTCCCTGCTCTGCTGCAAGTTTCCTCTTTTTATCCCTGTGAGGGGCCTTGCCGCTTACATCCCTCTGCTTGAGGCCCCCTCCTCTGCCCTCAATGAGAAGCCCTGCCCCCTCCTCCACCATTGTGAGGGACCATGATGCCTCTTCTCCTTTCCTCTTTGAAGACCCCCTATCTCCTCCACCTTCTCTGTAAGGGACCCTATCCCTAGCTCTACTTCTGTCAGGGCTCTACTTTGCCCTTTAAACCCTTTTCTTTAAGGGATCCTGCTCCTTCCATCTCTGTGAGGGGCCCTTTCCCTCCCCACCTCTGTAAGTCTATCCCACTTCGCTCACTTTCTGAGGGGGCCAGACCCTTCCTCCCTTCCTCATACCTGGCGACAGTGACCCAGTCACCAGCTGATAGAGGGATCGCGCTGCCTGCCCCAATGGGCTCCGGCATCTGCGGGGGCATCGGTTCATGGTTCGGCAGAGAGCACGGTAGCCAAGCTCCGCCCCCAAGGCTCTGTGCGGTCTGGTCTCCGCCCCCAGCCTAGTGGGCCCTGCACGGGCGGCGCCGGAGGGCCGGATCGGCAAGACTAGGATCTCAGATATCAGCGCCTCCTTCCGTTCCCTATCTTCTCTGGGACGCACGCGGAGAACTCACCCTGGCCCCATCATCTGAAGCACCCGCCCTCAAAGTTCCTAGACAGGGGGAGGGACGGGGGAAGGGGAAAGGAGGCACGGACTCTACTCATAGCCTTCTCTGGAAATGTTTTCCGGATTTCTGATGGGGAAGCGGGCACCCACGGGTTTTTAAAAGAGAGCTAGAACGGGAATGAACCTTATCTCTTATTGCCCTTCTTCGGCTCCTCCTTTTCTGCCTGTCGCACCCCTCCTCTTCCCATTTTGGCACAGAGATGCGAAGGGGTAAAAGGACATAAGTTGTCATGGCAACTTCCCACATTTCCATACTTCCTAAACCAATGGGAGAGACAGCAGGAGCGAGGAGGAGGAACTGGCCAGTGTATTGGAGTGGCAAAGAAGAGGCAGCAGGGATGTGCCCCTACTGGTCTCTGTCTCCTGGCTCTGAATCCCTTTCTCTCATAACTGTTTGTTTTGTATCCCTCTGTCCTGGTCCAGCGGGTTCACAGACTCTCCTATCGTATGCTGACTGCCAGCCAAATGCATCAGGAGA